TTGAAAAAGCCATTTAAACCACTATCTCAGCATACGCAAGATGCCACTATTGTTTTATCGAAAAAGTTACTAGTATGTGGCTACTCTCTTGCTCTCTCTTTGTCTGAACATGTGTGTTCATGTTTAGATTAAAGAAGATGAAATCGAAATTGTACTTACCAGACAAGATCACCAACAGTCATCGTGATAGTTTTTAAACAGTGCGTCTGTGTAAAGTCCTGTTTTTTATTGTTATCTATTTTACTCATGGCCGGTGTCTCCACTGGATTTTGTTGTTTTATTTAAGAAATGATTGTTCTCTGAATGTTTACAACTATGCGCTAAGAAAAATGGAGTTTACATACAATTGATCTACGTGAATATCCATATTAAAATTCTTGTAGTACGATCAAAATCATCAGCACGAATTATCGGACGTCTAGATACCTTGGCAAAGCGAACATAAGTATTTAATTGGTGTTGTGGGAGTAAAAACAAGTAACAACTTATTTTATCTTTTCTACTTCGTCTTTCAAGATAATGATATAGGCGTTATTTTTATTTTTTTATATACAAAAGTATAATAGGAAAAGTGAAAATGTCATTTATTTAGTTTATTGTGATTTCGATCAAGAAGAGCGTTCATATTTGAAATATAAACGCATTAGGAAAAGGTTTAAATATTCAGAATAAATAAGAATAACCAAAAGTCCATGGTGTTTGTTAGGTTCCTCAACTGTCTTCGTGAAGAGTATATTTCACAGTAACGATTTAAACCGATTTTGAAGACTTCAGAGAAAAAATAAACAATAGAAGGATAGGTAAGTGAGCGAGGATAGTGTAGGAGGAGACAGCAAAGGAATGATAAGGCAGAAAGAGCTTTGGAGCCAGTGACTAGTCTTTACAGTTAAAATGTAAAGCGGGTTCAATGAATATAATTCACATAGATAACTATATTCAAAACTCTGTTTTTTCTGAACTAATGATAATAAATTATAATAACAGTTTGTTATTTCTCGATGTCATGGACTTCGAAAGCTCGTAGAACAGATATCTACTATCGCCAAAGAATTGTCATGCTACCGTTTCATAAAGCATTCTTCTTAGGAAAATTTTTATAGAAGGACTCCTAGGATTCTTAGGAATTATTTATAGAAATTCGAATATATATAAATTCAAATGGAAGTTCAAGATAGTAGAAATTCAACAATTTCTATAAAATCGGAGATTCCTCAAGGAATTTCTATAAACTGAAAATTCCTCGGCGAAGTTTGTGTCGATTTTCCATAAACTAGAAATTAATTCAAGGTTATAGTATAGATCAATTTACCAGCCTTAGACCATAGAACTTCAAATTGACGTGATTCAGTCATTTTACATTCAAACTGGCTCGAATTTTCAGAAAATACTCTAAAAACTTTATTGAAATGGGTTGAATCGTAGAAAGTTTAATTAATAAAGCTTTGAATCCCAGGATTTTCTGGAAGCCTCCTAGAGAACCTCAACACGTAAAACTCGAAGTTTGCAACTTTCTACGATTCAGTTCGTTTCAATAACGTGTTTAGAGTATTTTCTGAAAATTCGAGCCAGTTTGAATGTAAAATGACTGAATGACGTCAATTTGAAGTTCTATGGTCTATAAGCAAAAACTCGGTTTTTGGTAAAAAAGCTCCTACCGACCTCGACTTTCATTTTTTAAACAACTGTCATCGATTCATAGGCTTGTATTAACAAGCCAGCTATTAATTGACAATAACATAACCGATCGAAATTCAAATCAGAATATTTTTCCATCAATGACGACTATTGATATGGCTATAACAACGCTCGCTTATAATATACACTCAAATCAAATTATTGACGAAAATTTCTTGTTTATCTGGCTAGATGAATCCAAACAAGATCATCAATCTACACTAACTAGTGTACAATGTGCTATTAACGATGTTATTATATTTACTAATGCGTGGACTTCCTCCATAAAGTGAAGAATACCAAGGTTTTCTTAATTGTTGGAGATACTTTTGGTCAACAAATTGTACCTATCATCCATGACATTCATTGTCTGCACGGCATTTACGTATTTTGTAGCAACAAATCCGATCACGAAACTTGGGCCAAAGAATGGATAAAAATAATTAACATACAAACAGAAATCATGCCCATATGTGATTCTGTTCGCAAAGCTATACAACAATTCAATCAAGACTCTATTGCCATCAGCTTTGTCACGAACGCTTAAGAAACTTTCAATCAAAACTTGAATCAATTGGAGCCCTCATTTATGTATACTCAGATATTCAAAAAAATTTTACTTGAAATGTAACCAGACGAAAAATCCATGAAAGATTTTATTGAATATTTACGCATCGAATTTATAAACAATCCTTCAAAATTAAACATCATTTCTGAGTTTGAACGTAATTATTTTCCTCATTTATCCATTTGGTGGTATGTATACTCGTGAGTCTTTCGTCTATGAAATATTGAATAGATCTCTTCGTATGTTGGAAACTGAGACTATTATTAATATGGGCTTTCTTCTTCATAACTTACACAATCAAATTTTCGAATTACAACAAAAACAATTTGGTGAGTATCATGCAAAACCTTTTTATGTATACAGAGGACAGGGTTTATTGAAAACAGATTTTGAGAAACTGGTGGCAGCTAAAGGTGGACTTTTATTTTTTAACAACTTTTTGTCAACATCGAATGATACAGACGTTTCTGCGATACTTGCTGAAAGTATTTCGGTTGACACGAGCAAAGTCGCCATCCTGTTTAAAATGTTTATCGATCCATCCGTTTCCTCTACTCCATTCGCTTCGATAAAGGGTTACACTTACTTCAAAGAAGAAGAAATCCTCTTCTCCATGCACACAGTCTTTCGTGTAGGTGAAATTATTCAAATTGATACAGACAAACCATTTTATCATGTAGAACTTACATTAACTTCAGACGACGATCAAGAACTACAAACTCTTACGAAATGTATCCAAAAGGAAACTGCCGATTCTACTGGATGGAAACGATTGGGACACTTATTGCTTAAAATAGGTCAATATGACAAAGCTGAGCAACTCTACAAAACACTGGAAGTAGAAACGTTGGATGAAAATGAAAAATCACGTTATTATAATCAACTTGGAACCATTAGAAATCATCAAAGTGATTATCAAAAGGCTACATTAGATCGAGCTCATCGAGTTACCTAGAAAAAACTGAAAAGTGGATTTTTGAAAGTCTTTTTTCATTTAAAAGATTTTGAAATATTGATTTTTTAAAAATGGCCAAAATTCAGCAAAATTTTC